GGGGCTTTTCACTAGGTCGCCTTGCGTCAGATACACCTCACCCCTACTAAGTCTCGTGCAGATATCGGCCCCTCGGCCTCTATAAGACCACATGCAGGGAACCTATACAACCTGGACAGGAGTGACTCAATGTAGAAATTGATGACAGACTCTGCAAAACAGACTCTACTGCAGCAAGTACCAAGTGAGTGGGCACATCCACAGAGCATAAAGGACAAGGGTTAGGGCTTGAAGGGATTATACCGCTCCTCGCTCCGCACTCCGGCTTGGTCAACTGCGCCGGTCAACGCTCGTCGATCAACGTCCGTCGGTCAACACCTTGACCATCATGGTCAACCCTGGTCAACGACGGTCAGCACCGCTCAACACTCCGGTCAACGCTCGTCGGTCAACGCTCGTCAGTCAACGCTAATCGGTCAAAACTTGACCACCATGGTCAACCTTGGTCAACGACGATCAATGTCGGTCAACACTCCGGTCAACACTCCGGTCAACCCTCTGACGACCTGGCTATGGCGACTTCCTCTACCGTCAGCTTCAGCAACTTCACCCTCTTCTTCTTTGTCCTCAAGCTCGGCTATGGCCGACTTCTTCTTCCTCTCCGTCGGCTATGGCTGCTACCTTCTTCCTCGTCACCTCTCTTCTCTCCCGGCATTCTTCTTCTTCTCCAAGCTGGCAGTTATGGCTGCCATCCACTATGGCCGTCTTCCTTGCTCACGCTCATCCCTCTCTCGCTATAGTCACCGTCTTCTTCGCGTCGGACAGCTTCTTCTTCGCCTCCTCTGACTTCCGTGATGCTTGCGCAGACAACGGGAACCAGCTCCAATACCACTGCACTCAGAATTAGCATGATTTCCCTTCCAACATGCATACATGCAGGTGCCGACGGCAACACAACTTCCTCAAAGTAGAATCAGCAACAAGTGTGAGATGGTGTAGTGCGCCCACACAGAAAACTCAGAGATATGGCCTCCAGTCAGGAATGCAGCGCAAGTCAACTTGTCACCATCCTGCGGCTATGGCGTCTGAGCGCCAGTCTGAAATTCCCACCCGAACACTGTATCCACCATCAGACACACTGACACTCACTCACACACACGTACACATGCACTAGGATCTACCCTGAATGTCTACGCACACATACACACACACACACAGAGTAACTACTAACTTCGTCACACTGGCGGCTATGGTCGCCGTCCTCTTCCTCCTCACCAGCGGCTATGGCTGCTCGCCCTCTTCCACCTTCGGGCTTCCTGCTGACCACTTGTGACTCAACGCACAAGTCACTCAAGCAGCACTTCCACGTAGCTCGCAGCCAAATGAATGAATGAATGGCTGGGCGCTGCCTCTTTATTTAAACTGTTTCGTTTGGTGGTCTGGCCTGCCCAGTCCCAGGCCCTTGGACGTGCAGTTCCACTCTGGTATTTGCTGCTGGACTGGGACTGCCTATACTCGTGCCTCTTCCGGGCTGACTGGGGACTCTTGACCTTTCGGAGACGGATGGTCTGCCCTCTACTGACTCCCAAAGGTCAAGTTGACTCTTCAGAGGACGTAGGGCAGTTGACCTCTGGAAAGGTCAACTGTAAACTTGCCTTTTCCGGAAACTTACAGACGACCCTAAGATTCCTAAACGACTGATCTCCGGATCAAACCCCACATGACCCAACTCATACAAGCAAGACATTGATACATGGTTTTGGGGACAGGTCACAGGTTCAAAACTCATATCAATGGACAACTGTACAGTGGGCTAGGGGAGGTTTGGGGATCGAGTCCTCGTATCTGCAATTGTCGCGCGGACTGGGTGAAACCCTTTCAATTAAAAATAGATGGAACAAACTAATGGGGACCCACGCAGAACAAATCCCTGAGATCCCATGGAAAAAGTACAAAACGATCAGACCAGTCAAAATCAGAACCCTACAATGGCTCATAACGTACGTGGCTCTAACAGTTAATGAATGGCTTCACATCCGAAGAAGAAAGGACCCGAACAGCACCGACATCTGCAGTATATGCTCAGATCATGAACGGGAAGACATGATTCACTGTCTAGTCACATGCAAAGAAGCCACAGAATACTGGGCAAGAGCTGGTAACCTCTAGGGAAACCTCTTCTCGTCCTCTCTTCCTGAAACCCCCCTCCAACTGCTCCTCTGGACTAACCTTCCTTGTAACTTCGGTAAACCTGAGAAGATCTGATTCAGTCTGATCAGGAAAGCTACTCTGTGGGTCATTTGGAAAGAAAGATGCACCCGCACATTGGAAGGCACTAAGACCCCTCGGGAGAAAGTATGGGCCACCACCAAAAGTCTGATAGAAGCAGAAGTTCTGCATCACTGGAGGAAGACCAAAATTTGTATCCAGAACAGTCCACAAACGCAACAATTATCCATCGACAAATTCAGTCGGGTCTGGCTGGCGAAACGGAAAGTGGCAAGAGTGCAAGGCCTCAAACTGAGGTGGAAAGACTGGCATAACTCGGCCTTCACTACAGTACAACAGGACACACAGATACAGGACACATCAAGGCAGTTCTGGGTGTAATGGCATCAAAATACAGCATCACTTGAAGGGAGCTGGACCACCTGCAGGGGTACAAGACAAGGGTCAGACGACTCATTGAGGGGGATTTACCATTCAGTGCCACGAGACTCTAGAACAAACAGACAAGGGTCACTGCAGTTTTCCATCTCTGTTTTTTTTAATTTAATGTTGAGCCCACAGGTCCTCCAGGGAGGAACCTGAGAGGAATCACAGGGAGAGGCAAGCTGACAGTCAATCCTCCAGCAAATGGGGTAATCAATGTTGTTCAGGGACCCTTCGGCCGGTCAGCAGGGTGCGTGAGTGAGTATATGATGTAACACTACTACTTTGACTTGCCGGGGGAATAGGAACCGAACTGACGCTCCCCGAATGGACATGGAGCCAGGACCACAAGGACCTGTTTTTGTAAATAAATTAAAAAAAAAAAAAAAATTTCTCATAGCCAAACTGGCCAGCTCGGGAGCCACTTCCCACGTGGCTTGCCAGGTGTCAAACCCCTCCTCGATGACACACCTGGCATTCCCATTTAGGAATTGACTGCTGAATATCTGCAGCCTTGGGAGCAAGTCTGAGAGCCACTGCTGGGCAAACAGGGTATGCACTGGATTTATAACTTCAAATCGATTTCATATTCAGATTATAAGTTTAGTAAAACTTATACTGGCGATGTGGATATCCGGGCAGTGCATGCTGGCCGCACAGATGTTTGGGTCCTGATGCTGGTGTCTTGATGCCTGGCTGGATAGGGTGGGAAATGAGAGATTATAAAAACATAAGGAAGGGGTCATCAAGATTTTTCGTTGTTGATACCTTTCTCGGCCTTTTGGCTAAGATAAAGTGTACTATCTGCTCTGATCAGTTTTAATATCTGATCGGTGGTCTATCGGACCACAGAAAACAAAAACAGAAAAAAGAAAGATTTTTCGTTATTTTTTGGGGCCTCCCAGAATCAACCAGACAATGCAGAAGTCCGCTGGAGACGCTAGCATCCCCTTTCCAAACAGCATACTGCCATACTCACACCAGGAATTTTCTTAACTGCACTTGGTTGTGGTGGTGATTGGATCCATCACGGAGTCAGTCCTAGTTTTTGTATGCCTTTAGTGTCCGTTAAGTTACTCTTTCTTTGACTTCTATTTCTGCTCACTGACCATTTATCTCTCCCCTTAGCTTCAGAGCTTCCTGTGTTACTTTGTTGAGACCTTTTCATGAGCTGGTAAATGGCAACAGCATCTTCCCTCCAAAAAGAAACAGCAGGATGTCTTTGCTGCAGGGCATTTTCTCACCAGCCCGAATGTCACCAAGCTCAGATCCCATATAACTCTCTCTTTCTCGCTCTTGTATCCAGAAGGAAGTCGAATACTGAGCAATGGAGGATGGAGGAGGTCCGAGGAGAGAAGAAGAGCGAGCCCTCTCTCTCTCTCTCTCTCTCTCTCTCTCTCTCTCTCTCTCTCTCTCTCTCTCTCTCTCTCTCT